AGAAAACAGATGAAAAATACCTAGAATGTCCAAAATTAGGGAAGCTATTTACCGCAGCAGCAGACATGGGGAAAAAGAAAGGGATTGCAGTATATGTTAAAGAGGATTTGAAAGCAGATTTAATATGGTCGGATTCTGAGGGAAGAACCCTGGTTTTGCAGATCTGGATTAATGCCATCCCAATTCTCTTAGTGGTAATCTACGCCCCGAACAGAGATCAAAAGAGTTTTTTAAGCATCTTTATGGAAAAATAGTAGGATTGGAAAAAAGAAATATTTGTATCATAGGAGACTTTAATTCTGTTGCTGATTATCAAAAAGACCACAGTAATGGGGGGGAGAACAAAGGGGGGAAAAGAGAACTTCCCAAGATATGTATGATGAAGGAGTTAAATTTGATTGATATATGGAGAAGATCACATCCCGAGAAAAAACAATTTACATTCTATTCAAATCCTCATCAAATATGGACACGAATTGATATGGCATGGATGAATGGGGAAATAGCAAATGAGATAAAAGGGATTGAAATTTTACCTAATGAATGGGCAGATCACAATCCAATTCAGATAATATGGAAGGGTAGGGAAAAACCCAAGAAAAGATGGACGTTAAATACTCAGTTAATAAGAGAAAAAGAATACACCAACAAACTCAAGGAGGAATTAAATTATTTCTTAAAGGAAAATGATAATGGAGCAACTACGAAACAAAACATTTGGGATACAATGAAGGCAGTAATAAGAGCTATAACAATCTCTTATAACACCAAGAGGAATAAGGAAAAATATGCCCAGCAAAACAAATTACAACAAAAAATTAAGGAATTAGAAACTCAATTACAGAGAACCCCAAAGGATTCAAAATTGCAAAATCAGATAATAATAACTAAACTGAATTTAATTGAACAAGAGAGAATGATTATAAATTTGAATACAACTAGACAAACTTATTTTGAGCATGCTAATAAGCCAGGGCGATGGCTATCATATAGACTAAAAAAAAGGAAAGAAAAGAGATTGATATACCAGCTAATAGATGGAAAGGGGGATATACAACAGGAGATAGAACAGAAAAAAGAAATTGCCCATAAGTATTTTGAAGAGTTATATAAAAAGGAAGAAGTTAACGAAGATAGAATAAGAAACTATTTAGATAAAGTGAAGGATAAAGCAATTGGGGAAGAAATGGAAAAACTATTAAACAAAGACATTACTTGGTTTGAATTGAAATCAGCAACAGAGAACCAGAAAAACAATAAATCCCCGGGCCCAGATGGGATTCCAGGGGAGCTGTACAAGGCAATAGAAGAACAAATAGGACCTCTTATGGTGGAAGTTTTTAATGACGTCTTATTGGTAGCCAGGATGCCGGACTCATGGAGTGGGGCATTGATTTAGCTGATCCCGAAGGAGGATTCGGATCCCCGATATATACATAATTATAGGCCGATTTCACTGTTAAATACTGATTACAAAATATTCACTTCTATTATAGCAAGTAGACTAAAAAGAATGTTAAATGAGCATATATATGAAGATCAAAATGGATTTCTCCCAACCAGACAAATCAGGAACAACTTAAGAATAGTACTAGATGTCTTAGAATTTTACGAAACCCACCCCAAAAAACAAATTGCACTTATGTTTTTAGATGCAGAGAAGGCCTTCAATAATTTAAATTGGCAATTTTTAATCCAAAAAATTTATAATATGAATTTAGGCACCAAATTTGAAAATATTATATAACAACCATTTATGATACACAACAGGCTAATATTATAATAAACGGGGAATATATCTGCCCAATAAAAATAGAAAAAGGAGTCAGACAGGGCTGCCCACTCTCACCCCTGCTCTTCATATTATCATTAGAAGCATTACTAATGCGAAGTAGACAGAACCCAGACATAAAAGGATTAAAGGTTAAGAAAGAAGAATATAAGTTGCAAGCGTTTGCGGATGATATGATTTTTTTCATTGAGGAACCAATAGAAAGAGGACAAAAATTGATGAATGAATTAGAACAATTTGGAGCAGTAGCAGGACTTAAAATTAATAGGAAGAAAACAAAATTAATGACTAAAAATTTAACAGAAAAACAGAAAATAGAACTAGAAGAAGTTATGGGAATACAAGTGATAAAGAAAGTTGAATACTTAGGAATATGGTTGACAGCACATTGTAAGACACTTAAGGAAAATAATTATGATAAATTGATGCAACAGGTAAAGAAGGATTTAGAAACATGGGGCAAGCTGCAACTTTCATTATTAGGCAGGATTGCTGCTATTAAAATGAATATTCTTCCAAATTTCCTATATATATTTCAGACGATCCCAATCAAAGTACACAAAACTTTTTTTTGAAGAACTTAATAAAATAACTGTAAAATTTATCTGGCAAGGGAAAAAACCTAGAATAAATTTAAAGGCAATGCAGGATATGAAGAGCAGGGGAGGGCTGGCACTTCCAAATTGGGAGTTGTATTATAGTGCAGCCTCTTTAGTATGGTTGAAGGAATGGGTGAATTTAACCAATAAGAGAATATTATTCTTAGAAGGCCATGACTTGCAAAGGGGGTGGCATGCTTTTTTATGGGATGTAGGGAAAACTAGACAGAAATATTTTCACAGACACCTAATCAGAGACTCATTATTAACTAATTGGAAGAAAATACGGAAAAAAACACTATTTAAAAATACCAATTTGGATTTCAACAATGGAGGCGATGATTCACCCAAATAATCTGGATATCACTAAAATGATTAAATATAAGGATCTATTGGATACACAAGGAAATTTGAAATCGTGGCAAGAACTTCAAGAGCGGGGACTAAAAATTGATCAGTGGGCATATCTTCAAATTCAAAGTAGATATAAACAGGACAAGAAAGAATTTGGAATTAACAATAAACTCCAGCAATTAGATAAAATTTTATTAGGATCAGGCAAAAAAAATATAACAAAATTTTATAATTATTTATTAGAAGTAGAATTAGAAGAAGAAATTGTAAAAGGGAACATGATAGCCTGAAGTAGGAATATAGGACGTAGCATCACCATAACAGAATGGGGAAAGGTTTGGGGTAGAAATAATAAAATTACAAAATCGGTAGCATACAAAGAAAACGCCTATAAAATGTTTTATAGATGGCACCTTCCTCCTTCGAGATTAGCGAAGATGCACCCCAATATGAGTCCGAATTGCTGGAAATGCAAAAAAAAAAGAGGGAACTTTTTTCCATATGTGGTGGTCCTGTACAGAAGCTCAAAAATATTGGCAGAAAATTAGAAATTGGCTGGAAGAAATGACAAGAGAACAGATCAAATTCAAACCAGAGTCCTTTCTGTTAGGGATCTTTGATATACAAATATAAAAAAAAGTGAAATATATAATAATACACATTTTGACAGCGGACAGATTGGCTTTTGCACAATGTTGGAAGTAGCCTCATTTTCCATTAGAGCAGATGATCATTCAAAAAATTTCAAGTTGTGCAGATATGGACAAATTAACTTTGGCATTAAAAAATAAAGACACTTCAATATACTACAACAGCTGGAACTGCTGGTACAAATGGATAGACCAAAGATAGACTTCACACTAAAAGGCAAAAGAGGATAGGATAAATCCATAGTAGTGATACACAGATATATGTAAGGATTAGGTGTGTGTATATGGCATAAAATAAGGATAAAAAGGAGGTCTTACAAACTGTTGAAGATGAGAATGTTTTTAATTGTTTTCTATTTTTTTCTTTCTATTTTCTTCTCCCTTTCTTCTTTCTCTCTCTTTCATTTATGTATGTGTTGTTGGTTTGTTTTAATTGTAAAATCAATAAAATTTATTTAAAATAATAATAATAGAGGGGTGGGGTGGGCAACTTAACTGGTTTGCACAAACTGGTGTGAACCGCCTGAATCCCACCACTTCCCCTTTCTCTCCCTCTCTCCCATTACACAGAAAGCACACACAGAAAGTGGGGAACACTAACCTTTGTAATTGACCTCAGTCTCATAAAAATAACTGTATAGGTATTCATTGCTCTATAGATATTTCATTTATATTCATTGATTTTTAAAAGATGTCAAATGTGCCTGCAGAACCTCTACCATCACTATATTGAAACTCTTTAAAAAATCCAAAAATAGTTGGAGAAAAAAACTAGATTCATATTCAATTAGTTTGATGTTTTGTGACATAAAGTACACGATTTTCTCTTCATCTTTTCATACTTACTTATAAATAACTTAAATTTTAGAATACTTTTGTAGCAATTGGAATGTTGAAACTTAGTAGTAATGTACTTCCATATTCTCCACTGAAAACCAGATATTGCTATACTGATGGATTAAAATCACTGTGAAAAGTATTGCAGAGGTTGAAACCAAGATTCGTTTGCAATGGAGTAGAGCTGTGGAATTTCCTTATGTATTTCAAATATCCAAAATATATTAGCAATGCAATCAAGAAGTAATAACCCAACAAATAGTATTCAATTAAGGGGAAATGGGCTGTTCTTCATCATTATATAGTTAGTAATCCTTGAATCAATGAATGGCAGAGGTAATTCTGAGGGCTATTCATTTTAAATGTTAGTATTTAAATTCAGCACAGAAGTATCAATAGATATGTCAAAAGATCCTGTGATAATATCTATGACAGTCTGAAAAAAATGTTAAGAATGTCCCTCTTTCTTCCTTATCTAACCCTAATTGAGATCATGATCTGGTTATTATTGCTGATATAAAGATGAAATAGAAATTATAATTAATCTATTTTTTTCATTTAGATTCACATTTACAACTGGAAACTTTCCGAAACCTTAAAGTATAAATTAAATGACACTAAAATAAAATTAATTGCATTTTCTTTCTTTTTTTTGTGAAACGAACAAAAAAAATCTTAAGGTATTTTTGGATTATTTCTAAAATGACTTTCTGAGTTTTTAAAATAACTTTAATATTATGAAGTTCAACTGTTCTTCTTCGTTGCTAGGAAACACTACAGTGGATGAGTTAATGATGAGGCTGATGGCTGCAATGGAGATCTTCAGTGCTCAGCAGCAAGAAGACATAAAAGATGAGGTGAGACCTGGACATCACTACAGACAGCTATTGCATTTAGAGTAAGGGTCTTAATATTTATAAATGCTATTGCATTAAGAGTAAGGGTCTTAATAGAGTAAGGGTCTTTTTAATATTTGCTTGAAGAGGTTTGAAGGTTGTTCCTATAAGAGTGAAAGAAACAATAACACAATAATTTATTTGGTCCATCAGAATAGGAATGCTATCCATCAGATCATTCTAAGAATACTGCTCTGCCTCCATGTAAGATTTGAGACATAGATAAAATGAGTTCAATATTCACATTTACCTCTTCTGCAATATCTCCATATTTATGACATAAAATATCAAATTTGAAGATAGTTCAATTTAAGGAATTGATCACACGTTCTGTGGAATAAAATACCTCTATTTTTCACAGTCTTTCAAATCAATTGTAAATACTGTTTTTGAATATTGAAAAAATGGGCAAAACAGTGTTAGGAAACTATACATTTATTGTAGTGGAAAATTTTTGTGAAAATACCAGCTATGAACTTAACATATTCTTTGAATGAAAACTTGTTTAATTGTAATTGTTTTGATGAGCATTGCTATATTTTTGGCAATTTTTTAAATCAGAAAAATATGCTTTAGCAATTAAATATGTGTTGCTGGTGTAATTGCCTTATTAATTAAGCATCTAAAATTAAAAGTAATTGCTTCTTACCCACTACCCACTAACAATAAGGTGAGATGTAATTTACAGAAACCCATACAAGATTGACCATTGCCTGGGTCAACAATGCACTAGACGTTGGAGTTCCTGGACATCTGATTACAAATGGATTACAGGACTCAGGACTGTTGGCTAAGCAACCAGGACCACCAAGTGCAGGTCTACTAGAAGAAAAATTGTTTACCCATTGCAAATATACAAAGATTGAAAACAAAGAATGTTATTGAAAGATTGAATGAACTGTTATTATAAATCAAATCTCAATGAAAAGAGAATTTCTGAAAAGAACACATAGTTCAGGGAAAAACAACGTCTAGAATAAGAAATAATAGAACAGATAAAGCAGATCAGCACTGAGTTATAATACAAAATAAAATATTCACAGACATAGAATTGGAAGAATTGCAAGAGATCTACTTAGGGCAAAGAAACTGAAGCCTCACCAGAAGTAACTCACACTGTGAGTTACCATGGGGAGTTGGTAGTAGATGAAACTAGTATAGGTATTCATTCATTCATTCTCATTCCTGAACAAATCACTGTTTCCTCTGCCTTCTCCTCAGAAAGAACAAATCCCTCTAAATAAAAAGCAAAAGGAATTGAAACAAAAAAAAATTGAACATCTGGAACAACACAAACATAGCAGAATAATGTTGCCAGCACTGAAGCTTATTAGCTAGCATAAATATTAAAATACTATAATATGAAATATAAAGACCAGTTCACTGCAAGAAACAAATCAGCTAATAAGTTATAACTGAATATTTCGGATGCAAAATTAATAAAAACAAAAGAGCCAGTGTACCACAAAAATAGATTGAAAATAAGATCAAATGCAAGCAAGCTGGAACAAATGAAAGAAGAAATCGAAGAAGACCAAAGAATACCTGATCAAGAAGTATTATCTAGAGCAGGACTGTCAAACTCACGGTCCATGGCCCAGATGCATCATGCACTGGCCATGCCCCTGCCCGGTTTAGCAAAGGTTGAAAAAGTCCCGATTCGTCATGTGATGCCACTGTGATGATGCAAGTTTGACACCCCTGATCTAGAGGAACAGAAATCAAGGAAGCACTAGAAATATAAAGAGCAAATAACAGCAGTAGCCAAATAATTCAGCATATAAAAAGTATGATTGCACACTATAGGCAGAATCTCCAATTTCAATTGAATCAGAAATGTTTCTACGAAACATTGTCAATGAACAAACTGTAATGAAACAATAAAGAAGAAACGTACAATTCTGAGCATAGTTGTGGGACAACCCTCAAAAATACAACAAAAAGCATACAACATTCTATTCTATTCTAAAAAAAAGCAGCTTGCATAAAAGAGGTGGATACGAATTTTTTTATAAAGCTGAAATGTAAGATTTTGTAATAGCAGCAGAAATGATGAAGAAAAAGGTAGGGAAGATCAACAATTGGTCAGCATCATGTGAAGATAAACTGCATTTTTTTGTTGTTGAAACATCTGGCTGGTGTACATACACTCATTACCAAGCAATTAAGAGCAAACTATAAGGAAGTGAATTTGAAGATTGATTAACATCTGGCAGAACCTACCTGATATAATGAAAGATTTAACAAAAGAGGCAGCCCCAGGCAACTACAGGCCAATTACCTTTCAATTTGCTAACTAAGGTTGTAGTTGGACTGCATCTAGTTGAAAACGCTCTTTTCAACATGGGCAGAAAGAAAAGTGTCCTAACAACAGAGAAGCTCCTAATTGACAAAATTATTTTATACAATTGCAAAAGAAGGAAGATCATCTTGAATGTAACTTGGACTGAAAACCAAGATGAATTGGTTGGCTCGGATTGATTGCAAAAAAGCATTTGATTCCCTGCCATATGATAGGATAATAAAAATGCCTAAAAATAACAGAAGTCAGTACACAAATAGGAGTTTTGTGCAAAGATCAATGACACAATGGAAGATGTAATTGCTGGTCAATGTGATAGACTGGGAGAGGTTAATATTAAGAGAGGATACTATCAAGGATACTATCAGCACTGTTGCAATGATTCAATGTAACTGTCAACAATACTGAACAGTTCATGGCTATCAAACATCAAAAACATCTGCCAGGCTATCCCACCTCCTTTATATCTGAAGCTGTATGGAAAAACACCATCTCAAATAGAATCACTGCTCAGCACTGTCCATATATGAACTTTGGATTAGATAAAGGTGCCAATTTACTATCAAGAGAGGTAAAATATTAAAAACTGAAGGAATCAAGATGCCCGATGGAAATAACATCAAGAATCTGAATGAAGAATATTACTATGAATAGCTGGGCATTCTTCAAGCTGACAACATCAAGCAAACTGAAATCAAAAAGAATGTTAGAAGTGAATACACCATGAGAGTGAAGAAGGTCTAAAAGTTCAAACTCAATGAAGGAAGTCACATCAATGCAAATCTAGTCATTAGAGACACAGCTGGAATAATGGACTGGACTCAAAGCACTCCCCTAAAAGCCCTAGATAGGAAGACCAGAAAAATAATTACAATGAAGCATGTCCTTCATCCTCACAACAACATTGACAGATTCTACTTACCAAGGAAAATAGGTGGCTGTGGAATTTCTAAAAATGTACTTCCAAAATTTCATGGGATAGCTGAAGAAGAAGAAAGGCCATTGAAAGAATATCTGAAGGACAGTGAAGAAATTAGTACACCACAAAAGCTTATTGAATATTGGAGAGACCAAACTTGCATTTAAGAAAGACCAAATGAAATAAAAAAACCAAATAAAAGACACATGGCAAGGCAAAGTATTATATGGCCAATACACACACAAACATGCACAAACTAGCAGGCAAAGCAGATAACAAGAAGATCTGCCAATGGCTAAGAGCAGGAAAGTTAAAGAAAGAGACAGGGGGCCTAATTCTGGATGCACTAGATCAATAAGAAATTCATACAAAGCCAGAATTGAAGAGACAGCAATAAGCGGCAGGTACCACCTCTGCAAAGAAACTGAAGAAAGTGTTAGCAGCTGCAAGAAAATTGCACAAACTGACTACAAACAACAGCATGACAAAGTGTCATGCCCTTGTTGTAGTCTGATTCTGAGGGGGAGATTGAGCAGCTGACAGGGAGTGGGAGTGTGGTTCTGGTGGCTGTGAAAGAAACGGGGAAGGGCACAGTCAGGCTAGGCATTCAGAGGAAGACCCAGGGCCATCCCCTCTTCATCCTAGGGCATGCAGGGAGGAACGGAACAGGGAGCATCATGGCTTACGGGCGAGAAAAAGGCCCTGATCCCTTTCATTAGTTGCAGCTGGGAGAACAGGATATAAGTGGGGAGTTTGCACACAGCTCCTTGCTGAAAGCAAAGTGTACATTATTTTGGTCGAGGCTTATCTGGGTTTTGGCATCCTCCCAACTGTGGGTGCGGCGTTATCCTTTGAAAGTCTGCAATTTATCATCCTGGCCTGCTATATCAATTACTTAAGTATGGTCTGTATTGGTTTTTTATTTCTAATTATCTTTACTTTGGGTTCGGACTGCATTTCTGCCCTTCGTAGACTGTTTTTTGAAGAGTTTGTTATCCAGCCGAGGATAACTGGACATTGGGGCCAAGTTGGAGGCATTAAAGGGAATTTAGTCTACTTTTGTGACTTTGTTATTTTTGTGTCACGCCCCGGGTCATCACACAAAGTAACAACAATGATGCATTGGGTGATCTGCAAGAAATACCATTTGCCTGTAGGCAAGGTGGGACCATAAAATAGAGACCGTAATAGAAATTGAAGAAGCTAAAATATTCTGGGACTTTAGAATTCAAACAGACAGGCACTTGCCGCATAACACGCCCATCCTAACAATTGTCGATTAGAAAGTCCAGATAGTGGACATGGCATGATCTGGAAATAGCTGAAGAGAAGAGAAAAAACTGTAGAAGATCACAAAATACAAAAACCTGCAAATAGAAATAGAATGACTATGGCAGAAGCAAGCAAAAATAGTACCAATAGTACCTTGGCAAAAATAGTACCAATAGTACCTTGGGTGCAATCCCAAAGCAAATGGAGCACTACTTGAACACTATCGCAATTGATAAAATCACCACCAATCAGTTGCAAAAACAGCTTTACTCAGAAGTGACAATACCATTAACACTATTAAACTCTTATATCTGACTGTCCCAGGTCCCTGAGAAGGACTCAATCGCTGGAAAAAAAAACATCCAAATCCACTAAACAAATGGCTGACTCTGTGATCAACCATAATAATAAATAGCTGCTATAGAGATTTATTTCATGCAGACTAAGATGAGCAAATAAAGTGATAAA